GGTTCAGAAAATTCCAACAGTCCCTCAACTATGTAGGTCCAGAGTTCCAGTAGTTAACGAGCCGTTTAATTTCAGTGGTTGATATACTGAGAAAGCGCCCAACAACGTGTTTGATTAGCCTGTGAACAGAGTCTCTTAACCTCTCTTCGACCTTGTATGTATTAGGACTATTAGGGACATTAAGTCTTCGTAAACGAGCTTTATGTATGGGATAAACTATAGTGATAAAGCTATTGTAATGTAAATAATAATGACATTAATGATTGCATGATGATTGTCGATTGACTTACCAAACACTTAATTCTTAAGCTTCTGCAGGCTTCTCTCTTCCCTTTTCACTTTACATCTAAACTTGTTTTTCTTTCGAAAATTCTCGCCGCCTTTCCCCTCCTCGTAAAAAAACACAATCCACAACTGCTTCTTCCGTTGCTGGCGCGGGAGGCACGTTGGAAGCCATAGCTCGCAAACTGCCCAAATGGTCGCCCTGGCCGGCGAGGTCAAAGTCTCGCCGCGCGTCAAGGGAGACGCTTGATCCCCCTACCATGACATTTATTTTGTCACGCATTCCTTTAAATAACTTTGGCGTTTCGCGGCTATTCGAGATCAAGTGCTGCTCAAATCGAACAGAAACCGGAACCCAAAATAGGACAAAATAGGAAAAACCAAACACCACATCGGGTACCAAAACCGAAAAACCGCTAGTATTTTTCAGGAAAACCGAAAACCAGATGCTAAAAAACGAAAAATCCGCAAACCGCAATGACCACCAAAACCGAAAAACCGAAGTCTTTTGCAACAAAAACCGAAAAACCGATCTTAAAAATAGCCAAAACCGCAAAACCGAAAACCCCAATGCCCCCCTCAAGTATAAGTTCATGCTATAAGCTCAGTGAAAAGGTGTCAACCGGAATTTTCTCACCGCATGACAGATGACCTAGCGAAAAAAAGAAGGGGAACAGCTTTGACCACCCAGACATGATGGTGAACCAGACAAGCCCATTACCACCAGGCATAGCTATATTTCTTTCAGCTCTCAATTTTGTTTTTTCCATCACAGCATTCGTGGGGAACACACTGATCCTGGTGGCTCTTTATAAAGTGTCTTCTATCCATCCACCGACAAAACTGCTATTTCGATGCCTTTCAGTGACTGATCTTTGCGTTGGCCTTTTTCTGCAACCATTGTTTGCCACCCGTATACTAAATAGTGCGACAAAGATAATTATCCCTGGAAATTTGTTCTACTTCATCGAGGCAAATGCTTCTTTAAGTTTTATTTTGTGTGGAGTATCAGTCCTGACATCGACCGCTATAAGTTTAGACAGACTTCTCGCCCTTACGCTGGGTCTGCGATACAGAATTGTTGTAACGTTGAAGCGAGTTGCTGTACTAGTTACTTGTTTCTGGTTGATTGGTATTTTGTTCGGAATGCTGGGCTCTTTCGTGAGCTTTCAAATTGCTTTAAATGGGGCTATAATCTGGGCAATATTATCGTTAGTAGCCTCAATCTTTTCCTACGTAAAGATATTTGTCAAACTTCGGCAACACCAAGGTAGAGGTAGAGTGCAAGACCGTCTTCAACAAGAGCAACAGAACGAAGGATTACCACAAATAAATATGCAACGATATAAGAGAACCGTTTCTAACATAGCCTGGGTTCAGATGACAATGGTTGTTTGCTATGTTCCATTCATAGTAGCGACCGTGTTAACGGATGATACAAGAGACAATGATATCGCGTGGAATGTTTCAGTCACACTGTTATACCTAAATTCCTCTCTGAACCCATTAGTTTATTGCTGGAAGATGAAAGAAATCAAACGGGCAGTGAAGAACACGGTGACACAGTCGTGTTGCCTACAGTCGAACCCCGTTAATAGGACACAGAGGGGGCCACAGAAAGTGTCCGTATTAAGCGGGTTGAATTTAGAGAAATTGTAAGGGCTTTCTTTCCCCAGGGACAAAGCAAACTGTCCATATTAATAAGGCGTCCCATAAATCTGGTTTGACTGTCTCTACGTACTTAGGTGGACACTGCAGTGTACATGTCAGAAAACGTGCCGAGATCGTGCTTCCAAATTTCAACCCGTCTCTGTATCGGCCCTTTTCAATGGAAGGTTTTGAGAATTCAAAATTAAATTTAATTATTGAAGTGAGTAAGCCTTCACCTTCCATTAGAGTAGAGGAAGTTTGTGTGGCACTAAGTATTGCAAGATGGTGAAATGCGTTTTCACGCATTATTAGATGGATAAATTATTCTTTATCCGAAAGGACGAAGCTCGGACGACGTAAGTTAGTTCTAGTTACTTATTTCAAGTTAATAAGATTTTTTGTTGATGAGAGGATAAGTCAAACGCTTTCTTAGCTGCAGCATATGAGTTCTTTTAAATTCAAAGAGTTTAATTGTTGACAACATTACACCAGCTGAAAACCAGTAATTGAAGGCCATGATTTAGCTGCAAATTTTTATAATCAACAAATTATCGTAGTTCACAAACCATGTCGCATCGACGCGTTTATAAGGTTCAAATTCATGCGACACGTTTAATAAGAAACGTCCAGCTAAAACAGAAAAATTAATTTTCGAGAAAGAAACAAAAAGGTTCACAAGGAACTTAAAGCGTTGGTCACCTGCTTATTGTTGGCATACTTCCACAGGCAACAGGAAGTCGTTTAGTAGTCTCTGATATTGATTCGGGAGTCTTGACAATGTCTCTCCCCAGAACATTCTTGATTCTCGAGTTCAATATCACCTCGACAGGGGCGTAGCCAACATTATTGCATAGAGGGGTTTCTAATGTGGTATTTTTGTCTAGATTGACAATCGAGCTTTAGAAGACATAGGGTATAAGCAGGAGCCCATCACCCCTCCTGGTATAAGGCATTCTCGCCCGGAAAAGTTTAATACTTTAGGTCCTCAGAAATTTCGTTTTGTGATTCTGAGCACAAATTTCCAATAACAGTGCCAAATAAAGCTAGTATTTTTTCGCTTTCAGTGAAGAGATAGTGTGATAGACTTAAAAATGTATATATATATCCATAATGATTGAATATATTAAAACACACACTGTAGTCCTGTGGGCATGATTTGCCGTTTACTCAGTTAGGATATTAGCAAGAAGGAGACATCATGGATGCTTCCGTGCAAAGGTGTCGATTGTTGGACTTAGGTCAAATTGCGTAATACAATGGATGTTCATCAGAGCAAATGCAAAATCTAGGGAATAAAATCGCTAATCCTAGCTGACAAATCAGTCTATTTTGTTTTTTGAAATGATAGTTTAATCATAGTATCTGTAACACTATTGAGACCTGACCATCTTGAATATAAACAAAAACAGCATTTTGTGTCTGTTGATATAGGGACTTTCGCAACAGGAACAAGCTGACCCATCAACGCCCACGAGGTTAGTATTCGTTTCCATCAAATATCGCTGTTTTCTGATTCTACTGGCACAGTTTTTTTTTATTAAACTTGCCATAATTACTCAAGTAAGTTGATACCACCTATTTAATCATCTGTTCTAAATCACAATTGATTTAACGTGCGTTCGTGTGTTTAGTATTGTTTCACTAAGTGCTCTAAAATGGGTTGTTTAAACCTTTCTACGGGTCTACAATGCGAGCTTCATTTTCTTTTGGCTGAAAATAACATATGAGTTGACATATGTGAGAATAATATCACTTGTTCCTAGCTTGTATTGGTACACCTGTGTATTTCAACAGAATTACTAAACAAATCAACAGCGATGCGTTTAGTGATACGTTATGTAGCTATTCTAGCTTACGAGTTTGTGGACGGAAACTTAATAAAGTGCTCAAGGTAGTTTAACTCGTTTGAGTCTGTGGACGAAAGTGAACATTCTTTGGCAGTAGTTTTGAGTGGTACTATTCTTTATGCTGTATAAAGTAGTTCAAACTTTTTAGTCTTGGAAAGAAAACCTATGCTGAGTCACGGTGGCCACTCCAATGAGACGTCCCTGGGAGCGCTTGCAAGTTGCTTTTTTATTTTTCAAACTGAATTTTATAAAAGTTAAAAAAATAAGTGCAATGACAAGAATAGCCTGTACACAGACGTTGTTTTATTCGGCGAGCGCGGACCCCGAGAAAGAAAACATAGACCTTTTTATTTTTCATTTCGTTGTTTTCGAAATCGGTTTTTATCAGGCGCGCTCGACGGACTTTGAGGAGAAAATAGAGGCTCTGTGAACAGGCTATGACAAGAAGAATTTCTTTCTAGCCGAAAGATATCCAACAGTCACCTTCTTTATCTCTAGTTTTATTTACATTTGACTTAGAGCAACTTATTTTTACAGCTCAGTAAATAAATAAGCTTCCATAATTTTAGTTTAATTCACCTACTCTCTGGAGAGCGAAAGATATTTTTAAGAAGTTAAAAGCATTTCCACTAAAATCATTTGCAGCAGCAATAGAGCCATTCTAATATTTAGTGACAGCTTTGTATCAGTCGTTCACCTCGGCACCCCTACCAACGGATGGTTACTCTAAACACACAGTTTATTCGAACTTTCAGAAAAAAAATGGTTAAAAAAATGATTATTCTAGCGCTTAATTTGTATAACCACTTTACTTCAAGAGACTAGCTCAGAATATTTCGAACAATCCTAAGAACCGCCGTCCGGCGTTATTTGGGTCGCCAACGAAGGTAAAAAAAAAACCTGCGCGGCTCTGTTCTACGCGGCTTTGTTCCTGCTAAAGCCAACAATTTGGTAGCAAAATGACAGATTCATTTCAAATGATTTTCTGTCTCATGCGAGTTTTAACAAAGGAACCTTGATCGATTGTTGTTGATAGCTGCCCATTGTCAACAGAACCCACACATCTCCTTCGTAGGCTACCCATCGCGTAGCAACAGTGTGTACCCAACTGGCCATGCAAGGGATCCTGCCGCCATGTGAGCCATCATATTTACCAAAAGCGAAATCATAGATCCAAGTGACTTGCACGAAAAATGGAGACTGCGTTGAAAGCCGCGCCTGTCACGTGATTGCGTCGAACGTCTGTCCATTAAATATTGAGGGCACATCCAGCAAGGCTCCGATGGTTAATTCGGCTGCCTTTTCCGCCAGCTTTGAATTGTCAGGATTTTCCTGTTGAAATACAAGACATCCTTTAGTGGTTATAACATGGGATTCAACCCCACCAAACTGAAAGCTAACTTTTGTAAACGAATTCGTTCGCGTAGTTGGCTTGTTTACGCCCTGGGGCGTAAAAGCCATGCACGAGAGACAAAACTCTGCTCGCAGAGTAACGTCCAGAATAAGCCTTGAATTAACATAGAGCCCTTTTGAACTCTACGTAGCAGTGGGCACTGGGGATTGGCAAGTCACCGTTAGGTTTTGTTGGTTTTAGTTCAAATAAATGTAGTAACACTCTCTTAGGGCCTGTAATTCGGCTACAAATTTTCACACCGGTTAGAAACGACAACATAGAAAGTTGTTAGACTATGTAATTCTTTAATATTCCTGTGAATTTCGCTACGAAGAGGTAAAATGAATAATGTACTGTACCTTTTGATTATTGAGGCCTAAGCTGACAAATACACCAAAACAAATAATACCCTGTTCGTGAACACGTGACTTCATTTTCTCTATAGTAAGCTGTCGAGTGACAAAAAATAAATGTTTCGTAAAACAAAGTGAAAAACTTGTTCAACTTTAGTTAACTAGAAAAAAGATGATCGAGTTTATAAGTAAACAAACACACACAAGATTGGAAAGCCGATACCACCCAGCATTTTCCGAACCCCACGGCAATTCCTATGAATTGTAGCTTTACAGAATCGTAGAGGCGAGCACAGCATAAACGAGGATCCATATAGTTTGGGATGCATGCATACTATTGATGCGGCACTAAGCTACTCGATGGATCAAGTAAGCGAGTCTGTGAATTGGCTTGAGCAAAATAATATTGACAAGGATCTCCTATAAATAATAAGGAATCTCCGCCGGCCTTGATTAGCTTTTGCCTTTTGTGGGTGGAACTGCAATTTGAAAATGCGTGAAAATAAATAAATAAATATATAAATAAATAATACCCTAGATTTCTCGACTTATAACAAACAACTTTTGTTATCAGTTAAACTAAACACGCCTCGTCCAGGTAAGCAAATTTTAAATTACATATCAAGGGTGACCATCATTACACGGGGCCCGGGTTCTAATGACACCTAAACCAACCTTGAATTCAGTGAAGTTCTTTCTGCAGTTTGAAAATCTAACAATTATCAACCTAAGTTCCTTCACATGAAAATGACTGTATTTTCGTGAGATTTCTTGTGCAAACTGCATCACAGATGTTGGTACGCAAACCTGAAGTAAAGACAGGCATCATAGTCAGGGTTAGCAAAGACAGCCACCAGGATAGGCCTTTTATACAGAGGAGTGGATGTGTCTGCTTTACTATTATTTTGCGTTTTTTCCCTCAATAATATGTCAACACATGGCCCTACCCAACACATGTTTTGCAAGTGATCAATGATTTAATCAAGCCCAAACCAATTATAAAACTGCACACATTTTCGAACGGTTAAGGAGCTTAAGCAATGACGGCGGCGACGGACGCTAGCCTGACGGCAATAACGCAACAGGTTTAGATTGGCAAAACATCACGCTTTTTTGTACATTTCTCTGCCGTCGTTGTACGACTACAACGTGAAACTGCCGTAGTAATTTCACGTTTTGTCGAGGACGGGAAGACAAGACAGCACTGAACTTCTTTTTTTTTCCCCTGAACTTTGATACAGTCCTTTAGAATTCAATTCCAAAAAAAAATTGCCAACATTTGACGAATTAAAAGAGATGGAATGAGCGCGATTAAGTTTGAGGCATTGCGAATTCACTTTTTAAGTGACGTTCTCGTAGCCGCCGCCGTTGTTGTTGCTTCAACTCCCTAGTTTCTTTGTCCGTCCGCTTACAGTGCTGTCCACCTTACAATGGCTCAGAGGCAACCAGCCTACAAGGGTGTCGACTTACAGAAGAGCCTTTGCTGGAGGAGTACCTCGGATTAGAGTGGTGTCTATATATCTTACAGTGTATCCACATTAAGGGGCTGTCTGCTCGACCTTGATGGGTGTCCACTTAACAAGGCTACTTTACAGTAGTGTCCAAAACATGGTGTGCCTGTCTTAAAGGAAAGTTCCCATACAGTAGAAGTGAGGGGTGTCCGCCCAGTATAAGTGTCCACCCGACAGTAGCGTTTTCCGCCTACAGATGCGCCCATGCTAAAAAACGTTCTCCAGTTAACAGGGTCACTATATTTCAAAAACTACGACATTGATCTTATGGTGAAAAGCAGTAAGGTATACATGGCAAATGAGACTGAAAGGTAATATGAACACTAAAAACAGATGAGAAACGTATCATAAGATACCTTACCGTGGATGACGTTTCATCATCGAGAGCACAAACAACAGATACACTGTGGTGGCTTATCTCGGATATCTGCAAAGACAATTCAAGAATCATTATTATCTTTCCAGTGCCACTAATTCCACGTTCCTATGAATTCTTGTTTTCATTTTTTTTCCTGTCTTTCTTTGTTTTGCCTTGAGATCAGAGCGACGATTGACATGCTGTCACAAGTATGTTTCGCGTAGCAATAGGTACTTTAAGATCCAACGACGCGGACGGCAACGAGAACGTAATAAAACAATAGGTTTTATAAGCAAAACAATAACTTTGCACGTGCATCACGCTTATGAGTACATTTCTTTGCCGTTTTTGCACGACTACGACGTGAAATTGCCTAATTTCGCGTTTTATGGATTATGTAAACAAGGAACGACGAAATTTTAATTCTCTCTCTGAACTTAGAAATGGTCCCTTGGAATTCAACTCCAGGAGGGTTCGCCTACATTTGACAAAGTAATTGGGTAGGAATAATTGCGATTAAGACTGAAAGAACGCAAATTCACTTTGTAAGCGACGTTCTCGTTGCCTTCGCGTCTTNATAGACACTAAAAACAGATGAGAAACGTATCATAAGATACCTTACCGTGGAAGACGTTTTATCATCGAGAGCAAAAACAACAGATACTCTGTGGTGGCTAACCTCGGATATCTGCAAAGACAATTCAAGAATCATTATTATCTTTCCAGTGCCACCTATTCCACGGGAATTCCTATGAATTCTTGTTTCCATTTTTTCCTGTCTTTCTTTGTTTTGCCTTGAGGTCCGGCAGAGCGACGATTGACATACTGTCACGAGTACGTTTCGCGTAGTAATAGGTACTTCGTTGGATCTAACGACGCGAACGGCAACGAGAACGTAAAAAAAAACAATACGTTATATAAGCAAAACAACAACTTTGCACGTGCATCACTCTTATTAGTACATTTCTTTGCCGTTTTTGCACGACTACGACGTGAAATTGCCTAATTTCGCGTTTTATGGATTATGTAAACAAGCGACGACATTTCTCTTTCTGAACTTGGAAATGGTCCCTTGGAATTCAACTCCAGGAGGATTCGCCTACATTTGACAAAGTAATTGGGTAGGAGTAATTGCGATTAAGACTAGAAGAACGCAAATTCAATTTTTAAGCGCCGTTCTCGTTGCCTTCGCGTCTTTGGATCTTAAAGTCCCTCATGTATCTGAGCTACATGAAGTAATCACTGCGTTGCCTTTCTACAATATAACTGTATTGTCATTGTATTCAATTGCATACTCATTTATTTAGCTCCCTCACTAGGTGTCAATAGTACAGGGAGTACAGGGATGTGCTTACCAACTGCTCCGCTGATGTTTCGAAGGAATCTTGTTTTTCCGCTGACAGATCGGAATGAAAGGTCGCCTATAGTACGAAATAAATATAGATTCTCATACAAACTTTTAATTCATTAGTTTAGTTCGTCGTACGTGAAGATCGACGTTTGTCCCGGGGACGATCTTTAGACGTTCTATCCGTCTGCTTCAGACGATAATGTCTTTTTAGCCTCGTTCGGGAGAAACACCCGCTGGCCGGCTAAAGTTTCTTGTTGGTCTGATTCAGTTGATTGGTTCGACGAGTCCTAAGTTCGACGTCTAACCCATCAGACGATCTTAACTTAATTAAAGTCGACCAAGAGCCATCGTCTTTCAATAAACACTAGGGCGCACGCTTTAATATAACTTACCGCAACATTTCTTTTCTGAAGCAGTTCTTTTAGTTGCTCACAAAAGTGTGGTAGGCCTTGTCCAATAACCAAGGCTCTATGGATTTTTTTCTCTGATTACAAGAATAACAGTCAAAGTTAATCGATGACAACGGTGTTTATTACGTATACTTCAATCTATAAACAGGTTCTATCGTTACACTGAATACATTAAATCCATATAATAATATACAGATTTAACCAAGCCAAAAGCGAAGCTTCAGTTTGTACACTTAATAATAAACTTCCATTCCATTCCATTCAGCTTTTAAGGGGTGACCATGGGAGATTTAAGAAAAAAAGTATCCGGCCAACTGACCTACAAAACATTTTCCCACCGAGCTAAACTCTTATATTTATAGCAAAAAATAAAAATGAATAAAGTTCGATAACAGTAGTAGCCTTGAAGAAGAATTTTTGCCCGATTCCGCGTCACATAACTCCTCACCACACCTGTTTTCGAATTTATCACAAGGCCCCCTATTTAAACAAAATGAAAAGGTGCCTTTAATTCACGCCCGCACATACTCTTCGGTGGAGGCCAATTTACAGGTTACCATTTTTAGCGTCGATATTCCAGTCTAAAGGAAAGACCTAAATGAAAAATTGGGCCAAATTTTTGTGTTCGCCGTGTGCTTTTATATGTTGTCTTTGCAAAATCTCTTAATATCTCGACATCCGCACACTGACGCAGGAACCAATATTGTTAATTACAACCAGTCACACTAACGAAATAGAAGCAGGTACGTGATAAACATAATTATGCGAATTAATTAATGTAAGTGTTTGTTCATGCTATCAGCTCAGTGAAAAGGTGTCAACCGGAATTTTCTCACTGCATGACCGATGACCTAGCGAAAAAAAAAAAGGGGGAACAGCTTTGACGACGCAGACATGATGGTGAACCAAACAAGCACATTACAACCAGGCATAGCTGTATTTCTTTCAGCTCTAAATTTTGTCTTTTCCATCACCGCATTCGTGGGGAACACACTGATCCTGGTGGCTCTTTATAAAGTCCCTTCTATTCATCCACCGACAAAATTGCTATTTCGATGTCTTTCAGTCACTGATCTTTGCGTTGGCTTTTTTCTGCAGCCATTGTTTGCTATCCGTATACTAAATAGTGCGACAAAGATAATTAGCCCTGGAAATTTGTTCTACATCATCGAAGCAAATTCATCTTTAAGTTTTATTTTGTGTGGAGTATCAGTCCTGACATCGACCGCTATAAGTTTAGACAGACTTCTCGCCCTTACGCTGGGTCTGCGATACAGAATCGTTGTCACGTTAAAACGAGTTGCTGTACTAGTTACTTGTTTCTGGTTGATCGGTATTTTGTTCGGAATGATGGGCTCTTTCGTGAGCTTTCAAATTGCTTTAAATGGGGCTACAATCTGGGGAACCATTTCGTTAGTAGCCTCAATCTTTTCCTACGTAAAAATATTTCTCAAACTTCGGCAACACCAAGGTAGAGTGCAAGACCGTCGTAACCAAGAGCAACAAAACGAAGGATTACCGCGGCCATTAAACATGCAACGATACAAGAGAACCGTTTCTAGCATAGCCTGGATTCAGGTGACAATGGTTGCTTGCTATGTTCCATTCATAGTATCGACAGTGTTAAACCGTTATAGAAGAGACAATGATATCGCATGGAATGCTTCAGTTACAATGTTATACCTAAATTCCTCTCTGAACCCATTGGTTTTTTGCTGGAAGATGAAAGAAATCAAACGAGCAGTGAAGAACACGGTGACACAGTCGTGCTGCCTACAGTCGAACCCCGATAATACGGACACTGAGGGGACAATAGAGAGTGTCTGTATTAACAGGGTGTCCGCAATAAGCGGGTTGAATTTAGAGAAAATGTAAGGCTTACTGTCCCTAAGGACAAAGCAAACTGTCCGTAATAATGAGGTGTCCATATTAAGTGGGTGTCCATAAAGCGAGGTTTGACTGTCTCTATGTACTTAGGTGGACACACGTCAGAAAAGGTCTCGAGATCGTGCTTCTGAATATAAACCTTCTCTATGTCGACCCTTAACAATGGAAGTTTCTGAGAATTCGAAATTAAGTTTAATTCAGGGGCACCCAACGAGAATATAGTTCAAAACGACTTTAACATAGCATTGTTAGACGTATTTTAGTATTTAAACTGTAGATATAAGCATATTTCTATCCCCTAAAAATTTTTCATCTGTTCTGATTTACTAGCTGAAAGTGTAGTGATCCGAAAACTGTAGGATCAAAACTTCCGTTTTTGAAAATTTCAGCCAGAGAAAGGGATCTCGAAAATTCTAGTTGACCTTTTAAGGATAAAACCCGTTAAAAATGGGCAATTATATCATTTTTTAGATGTTCGAATATCCTAGGAGAGGCAGGCAAGCAAGAAATTTTACAACAAATGTTCCGAAAATTCTAGATCTCAAATCGTCTTCCGAACAGATATTTTCCGAAAATTGAAGTTGGGTGCCCCTGTTAATTATTGAGGAGCACGATAGCCTCCACCTTCAATTTAGAGTAGAGAAAGTTTCTATGGTAATAAGTATTGCAAGATAGTGAAATGTGTTTTCACGCATTATTAGATGGAATAATTATTCTTTATTCAAAAGGACGAAGCTCGGACGACGTACGTTAGTTCTAGTTAGTTATTTCGAGTTAATAAGATTTTACTTGATGAGAGGATAAGTCAAACGCTTTCTAAGCTGCAGCATATGAGTTCTTTTAAATTCAAAGAGTTTGTTGAAAACATTACGCCGGCTGAAAACCAGTAATAAAAGGCCATGATTTAGCTGCAAATTTTTATGATCAACAAATTATCGTAGTTCACACACCATGTCGCATCGACGCGTTTACAAGGTTCAAATTCATGCGACACGTTTAATAAGAAACGTCCAGCTACAACAGAAACATTTTCGAGAAAGAAACAAAAAGGTTCACAAGTAACTTAAAGCGTTGGTCACCTGCTTATTGTTGGCATACTTCCATCGGCAACAGGAAGTCGTCTAGTAGTCTCTGATATTGATTCGGGAGTCTTGACAATGTCTCTCCCCAGAACATTCTTGATTCTCGAGTTCAATATCACCTCGACAGGGGCGTAGCCAACATTATGGCATAGAGGGGTTTCTAATGTGGTATTTTTGTCTAGATTGACAATCGAGCTTTAGAAGACATGGGGTATAAGGCATTCTCGCCCGGAAAAGTTCAAGACTTTAGGTCCTCAGAAATTTCGTTTTGTGATTCTGAGCACAAATTTCCAATAACAGTGCCAAATGAAGCTAGCATTTTTTCGCTTTCAGTGAAGAGATAGTGTGATAGACTTAAAAATGTATATATCCATAATGGTTGTATACATTAAAACACACACTGTAGTCCCTGGGCATGATTTGCCGTTTACTCAGTTAGGATATTAGCAAGAAGGAGACATCATGGATGCTTCCCTGCAAAGGTGTCGATTGTTGGACTTAGGTCAATTTGCGTACAACAATGGATGTTCATCAGAGCAAATGCAAAATCTAGGGAATAAAATCGCCAGTCCTAGCTGACAAATCAGTCTATTTTGTTTTCTGAAATGATAGTTTAATCATAGTATCTGTAACACTATTGAGACCTGCCCATCTTGAATATAAACAAAAACAGCATTTTGTGTCTGTTAATATCGGGACTCTCGCAACAGGACCAAGCTAACCCATCAACGCCTACGAAGTCATTATTCGTTGCCATTAAATATTTCTGTTTTCTGATTCTACTGACACAGTCTTTTTTCTTAAACTTGCCATAATTACTCAAGTTAAAGTTGATACCACCTATTTTATCATCTGTTCTAAATCACATTTGATTTAACGTGTGTTCGTGTGTTTAGTATTGTTTCACTAAGTGCTCTAAAATGGGTTGTTTACCTTTCTACGGGTCTACAATGCCAGCTTCATTTTCTTTTGGCTGAAAATAACATATGAGCTGACATATGTGGGAATAATATCACTTGTTCCTAGCTCGTATTGGTACACCTGTGTATTTCAACAGAATTACTAAACAAATCAACAGCGATGCGTTTAGTGATACGTTATGTAGCTATTCTAGCTTACGAGTTTGTAGACGGAAATTTAATAAAGTGCTCAAGGTAGTTTAACCCTTTTGAGTCTGTGGACGAAATCCAATAGACATGATGATCATTCAAATAAACATTCTTTGGCAGTAGTTTTGAGTGGTACCATTCTTTATGCTGTATAACATAGTTCAAACTTTTTAGTCTTTGAAAGAAAACCTATCCTGAGTCACGGTGGCCATTCCAATGAGACGTCCCTGGGAGTCCTTGCAAGTTGCTTTTTTTATTGTTATAATATTTTACAAACTGAATTTTATAACAGTAAAAAAATAAGAGCAGTGACAAGAATAGCCTGTACACAGACGTTGTTTTATTCGGCGAGCGCGGACCCCGAGAAAGAAAAAATAGACGTTTTATTTTTCTTTTCCTTGTTTTCGAAATCGGTTTTTATCACGCGCGCTCGACGGACTTTGAGGAGAAAATAGAGGCTCTGTGTACAGGCTATGACAAGAAGAATTTCTTTCTAGCCGAAGATATCCAACAGTCACCTTCTTTATCTCTACTTTTATTTACATTTGACTTAAGACAACTTATTTTTACAGCTCAGTAAATAAATAAGCTTCCATAATTTTAGTTTAATTCACCTTCCTCTTTGGAGAGCGAAAGATATTTTTAAGAAGTTAAAAGCATTTCCACTTAAATCATTTGCAGCAGCAACAGAGCCATTCTAATATTTAGTGACAGCTTTGTATCAGTCGTTCACCTCGGCACCCCTACCAACGGATGGTTACTCTAAACACACAGTTTATTCGAACTTTCAGAAAAGAAAATCGTTAAAAAAAATGATTATTCTAGCGTTCAATTTGTATAACCACTTTACTGCAACAGACTACCTTAGAACTGAAAAGGATATTTCGAACAATCCTAAGAACTGCCGTTCGGCGTTATTTGGGTCGCCAACGAGGCTAAAAAAAACCTGCGCAGTTTTGTTCCTGCTAAAGGCAACAATTTGGTAGCAAAATGAAAGATTCATTTCAAATGATATTCTGTCTCATGCGAGTTTTAACAAAGAAACCTTGATCGATTGTTGTTGATAGCTGTCCCAGGGGCGGATCTAGGGGGAGGGTGCAGAAGGTGCGAAACCCCCCCGCCCCCCCCCCCCCTCACGGGCCCGGGGGGTACATTTAACCACACACCGTTCCTGCAACACAAAAACCAGAGGGTTGCGCCGTGGTCGGAGAAAGGAGCGGGGAGACACCACATCCGCGAAAAATAACTAAAACACATACAT